GGTGAATTAGGAAGAATTTGAGAAATTTTGGACACAACTGGGAGTTACTGGGAGTGACTGGGATGGACTGGGAGTGACTGGGAGGAAATCTGGGGCTCCTGGGGATATTTGGGGTGACTTTAGGGAGATTTTGGGGTGAATTTGAGCAGATTTGGGAAGAATTTGGGGAATTTTGGACACAACTGGGAGTTACTGGGAGGGACTGGAAATTACTGGGAGTTACTGGGAGGAAATTTGGGGATCCTGTGGGAACTTGGGGTGATTTCAGGGAGGATTTGGGGTGAATTTGAAGAGATTTGGGGTGAATTAGGAAGAATTTGAGAAATTTTGGACACAACTGGGAGTTACTGGGCTGGACTGGGCTGGACTGGGAGTGACTGGGAGTGACTGGGAGTGACTGGGAAGAAATCTGAGGGCTCCTGGGGATATTTGGGGTGACTTTAGGGAGGATTTGGGGTGAATTTGAGCAGATTTGGGAAGAATTTGGGGAATTTTGGACACAACTGAGAGTGACAGGGCTGGACTGGGCTGGACTGGGAGTTACTGGGAGTTACTGGGAGTGACTGGGAGTGACTGGGAGTGACTGGGAGGAAATCTGGGGGTTCCTGTGGGAATTTGGGGTGACTTTAGGGAGGATTTGGGGTGAATTTGAGCAGATTTGGGAAGAATTTGGGGGATTTTGGACACAACTGGGAGTTACTGGGCTGGACTGGGAGTTACTGGGAGTTACTGGGAGTGACTGGGATGGACTGGGAGTTACTGGGAGGAAATCTGGGGGTTCCTGTGGGAATTTGGGGTGACTTTAGGGAGATTTTGGGGTGAATTTGAGCAGATTTGGGAAAAATTTGAGGAATTTTGGACACAACTGGGAGTTACTGGGCTGGACTGGGCTGGACTGGGAGTGACTGGGAGTGACTGGGAGTGACTGGGAGTGACTGGGAGTGACTGGGAGTGACTGGGATGGACTGGGAGTGACTGGGAGTGACTGGGAGGAAATCTGGGGCTCCTGGGGATATTTGGGGTGACTTTAGGGAGGATTTGGGGTGAATTTGAGCAGATTTGGGAAGAATTTGGGGGATTTTGGACACAACTGNACGCGGGGGGGCCTCACCTGGGTGTTGTTGAGCCCCAGCCCCCCAAACTCGGGGGGTACCTGGAGCCCAAAGGCCCCCAACTCCTTTAACCCTTTCAGGGTCTCCTCCTCCACCCTCTCCAGGGCGTCGTTCTTGGCGGGGTCGTTCACTTCCTGCCCGGGATTTTTTGGGAATTTTTTGGGGAATTTTTGGGATTTTGGGAATTTGGGAGAACCCCTGGAATTCCAGAGGTTGTCCCCGAAGGGGTGGGAGGTGGGAAATGGGGGAATTTTGGGGGTTTTTACCTCAAAAAAACGAGTGAGGGGACCCACGAGTTCCTGCAGGGTTTGTTCTTGTTCCTCTGTCAGGACTGGGGAAAGAGGAGGAAATTAAAGAAAAAATAACCCGAAATTATCCCAAAATTATCCCAAAATTATCCTGAAACTACCCCCAAACTGTGCTGAGTTTGCCCTGAAATTATCCCAAAATTTGTGCTGAATTTACCTCAAAATTTCCCCCTGATTTTATTGAAATTGTTCTTCAAATTCCACCCAAATCAGCCCAAAACGATGCTAAAATTATCCCAAATTCTGCCCAAATTCACCCCAAAAACCTCCCCTAAATTCCATTAAAATCTCCCCTCAATTCCATCAAAATTACCCCAAAGTTATCTCCCAAATTGCCTCAAAATTTCCCCTGAATTTTCTCCAGAATTTTCAAAAAAAAATTCCCCCAAAATCCTCTCAAACTTTTTCTCTCAAACTCCCTCAAAAACACTCCAAAATCTCCCCTAAATTTCCCCAAATTTCACCCCAAAATTGCCCCAAAATTCCCCTAAATTTCCCCAGATTTTACCTCAAAATTTCCACAAAATTCCCTCAA